TTTTTTTGAGACAGAGTTTTGCTGTGTTGCCAGGCTCCAGGCTGGAGTGCAGTGGTGTGATCTTGGCTCACTGCAACCTCCACCTCCTGGGTTCAAGCAATTCTTCTGCCTCAGTCTCCTGAGCAGCTGGGACCACAGGCGTGCGCCACCATGCCCAGCTAATTTTTGTATTTTTTAGTAGAGATGAGGTTTCACCATGTTGGCCAGGATGGGCTCGATATCCTGACCTTGTGATCTGCCTGCCTCAGCCTCCCAAAGTGCTGGGATTACAGGCCTGAACCACCGCACCCGGCCCTGGCTGTCTCTTTTTTAGGACACTTGTTGTCTCCCTGAAAAGCAACTGCACTTTTTTGACATTTGCCGTCTGCATAGAGTTCACAGGCCCTCCACACCTCTATCTTCAAATCTGTTTTGCTTTCATCTCATATCTTTCCAGGCCTCCCTCTCCGCATCAATCAGTAGATACTGTCTTTTTCCACAGGATATCTAAGTCTTAAGTTTCTCTTCTACTTCCTGACCAACCTCTTACTATTATTGCCGAAATTTTCTTTCTTCTTCTTCTTTTTTTTTTTTTTAAAGACGGGGTTTCACCATGTTGGTCAGGCTGGTCTTGAACTCCCGACCTCAGGTGATCCATCTGCCTTGGCCTCCATATTGCCGACATTTTCTTGCCCGGGAAACCTCCAGAGTGGCTCCTCTAACCCATCCCGGACATCCCGAGCGGGAAAATCTTGCTACATTCTCAAGAACCAGAAGAAGGGTCCTAGCCAAAGGGTAAGATGGAGGCAGTGTTGCCTAGCGGTGAGAGAGCCTGGGGGCAGGGGAGTGTGTACGCAGGTTGGTCTTTGACTCAATATAGTACAAGCTCAGTCTTCATCTCAGCCACAGTCGGCCTAAGTAAGAAAGTAGGTCACCCCAGCCCTCCCGAGGCTGTGGGCAGGGTGCAGAGGTCAGACTTCAGGGAAGTCCAAGGGGCGTTTTAAGTAGTGAGAAGGCCAAGGCCAGGAGGGTGGATGCAGAAAAAATTTGCACCCTGGCTCAGACCTTCCCGTGTGGCCCAAACCTCCACTCGTGGCCCGTGCCCTGCTGCTAGACGCCCTGACCCCCGCACCCGGAGGCCTTGCTCCCCGCCTGTGCCCAGGCCAGGCCTGGGACTCCATTCCTGCCTCCCGCTCACCTCCAGACTGCAGTCGCCGCCGCCGTTGGGCCGTGGCTCCGAAGGCGGGCTCCGGGCTCCTCCAACCTGGGGGCCGAGCCCGGACCCCAGACGGGGACTCGCGCCGGACCGGCCGGGTCCCCGGCGGTGCGGGCGGGGTGGGAACCCCGGGGGATCCCGGGAAGGGAGGGGGTCCCGGGCCGGGGCCGGGGGTGGGGTCTGGCACCGGAGCTTTCAGTTTGTTCCGCTGTTTGAAACTGGCGCCGGCGGAGCGTTAAGGTCACGTGACGGAACGTCGCCAATCGGCGCCCGCTTGTCTCGGCATTCCGGGCTGGAACGCGGCGCGGTCTGACAGGAGCGGCGGCCCCGGCCGGCCCGGGCTGGTAAGGCGGCCCGCTGGCCTGTTCTTGGGGGAAGAGGTGGCCGTGAGGCCGGGGAGGGGCCGGGGGGGTCTCCGCGGCGTGGGTGGGCGAGCGGAGGGACAGTTTGGGGACGCGCGGAGCGGAGTGACCTAGTCACGTCAGGCGACACGCCCCCGTCTCCCCTCAGGCTGTCTGCTCCCCTTTTCAAATGTCGGCTTTACTTGATTTCCTTCCTAGGGGAAATCGTACCCCATTTTCCTACAGCTAACGATTGTTTGCTCCCCCCGATTAGCCTGAGGGTTCTTTGAGGGATGCGTGTGATCTCACCTTTCTTCCATCTTGGAAAAAATGTCGGCATCTTGAGCCCCACGTGAGCGCGAAATGTTCCTGTCTTTTGCCCCTCCCAAAGCTAAGCCTTCGGGTATAACAGACTGTAGTGCTTTATTTATTTACTTAGTCAACCGGTCTAGTTGAACAACTGCTATGTGCCAGGCATCGCTAGGCCCTGGACGTACAATGGCAGACAAGGTTCTTAACTTCTCTTGGACTCACAGCCCAATCCTGGGAGACAGGCTCAGACATTTTTAAGGAATCAAATAAACAAATGTGGGCTGGGTACGGTGGCTCACGCCTGTAATCCCAGCACTTTAGGAGGCCGAGGCGGGTGGATGCCTTGAGATCACGAGTTCAAGACCATCCTGACCAACATGGCGAAACCGCTTCTCTACTAAAAATTAGGCGGGTGTGGTGGTGCGTGCCTGTAGTCCCAGCTACTCTGGAGGCTGAGGTGGGAGGATCACCTGAGCCTGAGAGGTGGAGGTTATGGTAAAGTGTGTTCATACCATTACACTTCACCTGGACAGAGGAAGTGACAGAGGGAGACATCATCTTCAAAACAAACAAACACACAAAAGTGAAATTACAGCTGTAAAGTGAAACAGTAGAGGTTAATGATACTTTGAGTATCTACAGTAAGGAGATCTTGAGAGGTAGGACCGGAAAGGCTTTTCTCATGAGAGCTTGGTGTGAGATCTGGTGCCTTTTACAAAGAAAGGAGGGAACCTCCATAAGCAGAGGGAATCAGGTGTGCAAAGGCTGCATAGCAGGAGTAAGCACGATAAGTATAGGCTAAGGAATACCTGAGGGGTTTGAGCTAATCAACCTGAGTGGAGTGTGGCGTGAGGTGAAGCTGGAGGCAGAGGAAGCAGGCCTTAGCCATACTGAGAAGTTTTGTGCTTATCCAAGAATTAAAGCAAACCAATCATAAGCTTTAAGCAGAAGTGAACTGAGGTCAGATTTGCATTTTAAAAGGTCCCTCTACAGCAGGGTTTGCTAGAGTGGATTAGGGCAGACGAGTTGGATATTGCAATACTCCAGGCAAGAACTGCTTGAACTTGAAAAAGGTTGTCAGAGAGAGAGGAAGAAAGGAAGGAAACAGAGTGAAAAAGGGGCATTATGAAACGTGTTTAAGAGGTAAAGTTGACAGGGCTTGATGGTGGGTTGGATGGGAGGTGAGAGATAGAAGTGTCAAGATATTTGGCTGCATAACTGAAAGAGTAATGACACCATTCCCTGACCAAGAGCCCTGGAAGATAATCACTTTGGCCAAGCGGTGGGGGTGGGGTTGCCGGGGAATGATTGTGAATTCAGTTTTTGTTTTTTACTACAAAGCAACGCTCAGAGTGACTTCAGTTTTTTTGTTTTTGTTTGAGACGGAGTCTCACTCTGTTGCCAGACTGGAGTGCAGTGGTGAGATATAGGCTCACAGCCACCTCCGCCTCCTGGGTTCAAGCGATTCTCTTGCCTCAGCTTCCCAAGTAGCTGGGATTACAGGCACGTGCCACCACACCTAGCTAATTTTTATATTTTTAGTAGAGATGGGTTTCACCATGTTGGCCAGGATGGTCTCGATCTCCTGACCTCGTGATCTGCCTGCCTCAGCCTCCCAAAGTGCTGGGATTACAGGCGTGAGCCACCTTGCCCGGCGGAGTTCAGTTTTTTAAAAAAATTTTATATATTTATTTTTATTTATCTTTTTATTTTTTAGAGACAGGGTCTTGCTCTGTCCCCCAGGCTGAAGTCCAGTGTCATGACCTTGGCTTACTATAGCTTCAGCCTCCTGGGCTTAGGTGATCCTCCCACCTCAGCCTCCTGAATGGCTGGGACTACAGGCACATGCCACTTTGCCCAGCTAATTTTTGTATTTTTTTGTAGAGACAAGGTCTCACTCTTGCCCAGATTGATCTTGAACTCTTGGGCTCAAGTGATCCTCCCACCTTCACCTCCTAAAATGCTGGCGTTACAGGTGTGAACCAATGCATCTGGCCAAGTTCAATTTTAAACTTGTTGAATTTTTTTTTTCTTTTCTTTTTTTGAAACAAGGTTCTGGCTCTGTCGCCCAGGCTGGAGTGCAGTGGTGCGACCTTGGCTCACTGCAAACTTCGCCTCCCGGGCTCAAGTGATCTGTCAACCTCAGCTTCCTGAGTACCTAGGATTACAGATGCCCAACACCAAGCGCACCTGATTTATTGTATTTTTTGTAGAGTTCTGGTTTCGCTATGTTGCCCAGGCCGTTCTTAAACTCATGAGCTCAAGCAATCCGCCTGCCTTGGCCTCTGAAAGTGCTGGGATTACAGGCGTGAGCCACTGCGCTCAGCCTTAAACATGTTGAATTTGAGGTGCATCTGAAATATCTAGTTGCCGTTCAGGTAGGTAATGGGATATTTGGGTCCTAAACTTAAGGAATTCTAAAATGAGTATGTAAATATTGAAGTCATCTACTTAGAGGTGGTTACGGAAATACGGGTAGATGAGTTTGCCTAAGAAAAGTATATAGAGTGAGAACAGCTCCAAAGCACAACCAGAGGGGAAGGACTTAGATACCAGAATGAATTGACCACTAATTAGAGCAGAAAGAAGATAGATGCTGATATGCATAGGTTTATATGTTTGCTTTCTGGAAAATCAGAGTATTTCCTTTGATGTCTTCTATATTCGTTGTCAAGTAGGGAGTAAAATCATTTGTTAACACAAAAGGGGTGTTCTGACATTCTAAGAAAGTGGGCAGGGTGTGGTGATTCACACCTGTAATTCTAGCACTTTGGGAGGCTGAGGCAGGAGAATCACTTGAACCCAGGAGTTCAAGACCAGCCTGGACAACATAGCAAGACCCCATCTCTAAAAAAAATAAAATAAGAAACCAGCCAGGTGTGGTGGTGCTTGTCTATAGTCCCAGCTCTTCAGGAGCCTAAAGCAAGAGGATCTCTTGAGCCCAGGAGTTTGAGACTGCAGTGAGTTATGATCATGTTACTGTAGTCCAGTCTGGACAACAGAGCAGGAACCCATCTCTAACAATAATTTTAAAAATTAAAATAAAAATTTTCAGCCTGGATGTGGTGGCTCAGGCCTGTAATCCCAGCATTTTCAGAGGCTAAGGTGGGCAGATCACCTGAGGTCAGGAGTTCAAGACCAGCCTGGCCAACATGGCGAAACCCCATCTCTACTAAAAAATATAACAATTAGCTGGGCATGGTGATGGATACCTGTAATCCCAGCTACTCAGGAGACTGAGGCAGGAGAATCACTTGAACCTGGGAAGCAGAGGTTACAGTGAGTCTAGATTGCACAACTGCACTCCAGCCTGGGCAACAGAGTGAGACTTCATTTCAAAACTTACAAAAATTTCCACCTTTTTTTTTTCTTTTTTTGAGATAGGGTCTGTCTGTCACCCAGGCTAGAGTGTAGTAGCATGATCATAGCTCACTGCATCTTCAGACTCCTGGGCTCAAGTGATCCTCCCACCTCAGCCTCCCAAATAGCTGAGACTACAGGTGTGTCCCACCATGTCCAACTAATTATTCTTTTAAATTTTTAGTCAAGACGTGGGCTCACTATGTTGCCCAGGGTGGTCTTGAACTCTTGGCCTCAAGCAGTCCTCCCACCTCAGCCTCCTAAAGTTCTGGGATTACAGGCATGAGCTACTGCACCTAGCTTGGAGAAGTTTTAAGATAATCTTTGTGGAGAATGAGTTGATCAAGGAAACAGGATTGCTAAGCAACGTACCCATTTGAAGCTGATGACTTTCAGCAAGTCATGAATTTCAACACTATAGCCGTTGCTACCACTGTCATCTTTCTGCTGGATTTCTATGGTAGCTTTTTGTTTGTTTGTTTTCCAGACGAAATCTTGCTCTGTTGCCCAGGCTGGAGTGCAGTGGCGCTTGGCTCTCTGCAACCTCCACCTCCCAGGTTCAAGCAATTCTCCTGTCTCAGCCTCCCAAGTAGCTGGGATTATAGGTGTATGCCACGATGCCTGGCTAATTTTTGTATTTTTAGTAGAGATGGGTTTCCCCATGTTGGCCAGGTAGTGTTGAACTCCTCCTGACCTCAAGTGATCTGCCTGCCTCGACCCCACAAAGTGCTGGTACTACAGGCGTGAACCACCACATCCGGCCTCTCTATACTTTTTATCCCTTTCCAACTAGAATGTAAGCACCACAATGGCAGAGGCTTTATTTTATTCTCTGGTATATATTTTCAGCACCTGGAACAGTGCCTAGCACACAGTAAGCACTCAGTAAATATTTTCAAGTGAGTGAATGAACAAATAGATGTATTTGTATTTTGTGTTCTTCATAAGGTGTTAGTTCCTTGAGAATAGAGACTTTGTCCTTTTTTTCTTTACCTGTAATTCTACTGCCTAATTATGTAAGTCAAAGCATGGTTTTTGTTGTTGTTGATTGAATGGATTATGAACGTATAGAACCAACCTACTCCGTTGTGTGACTTTCCAGCATGTTCAGCTGCACCTCTAATTTACTTCTCTACCTATTGCATTCAACCTTGTGCCCTACCATTCCACTGAAGCAGCTCTTATTAACGTTGATCTGGGGCAGGCGTGGTGGCTCATGCCTATATTCCCAACACTTTGCGTGGCCGAAGC